AAAAAAAAAAAAAAATTTCAACCAGGCACAGGGAAAAGAAAAAGTGCTGAAAGCTAGGACCTGGTAGGGGAAGATTAAGAATAATAATAAAAAGGAAAAAAGTATTAATAATTTTAGTTGTTTTTAAACAAGCAAACTAATCACCAGAAAAAAGAAAGCACAAAAGAAAAAAGTAAAAATAAAAAAAGAGAAAAGAAAAACAAAAAAAATCGGTGGAGGACAGGGCAGGGCACCCAGGCTCCATCTGAGCACACAGACTGTGATGGCGTTCCTGTGGGCCCAGAAGATAGGTGGGAGTGGAGGATGGCCACACCTCCTTTCACTAAGAGTAATAAGAAGAATGTCGTACCTTGTCAGTCTTGCAGGTCCCGAGTGTCCTTGGGGTTGCTGGAAAGCAGAACGTGTTCTTAAGCCCCAAGAATCTGCGAGAGTGCTGTCTCAAATATCCAAAATAGTCAAGCCGCTTTTTAAACCTTCAAAATGGTGGCATCCTCCAGACCGGCAAAAGTCCACAGCTCAGCCCACCTTTCTCTTCACCTTTTCCGTTCGTTCCCCAGCCACTGTGCACAGTCCTCCGTGCAGTCCGTGGCTAGCAGGGTGATTTTTAGGTTAATTCTTAGGTCCTACCACCACTCAGGAATCTCCAAGATGTCTGTGCCGTTAGGATCACTCAGGATCGCTGCCAGACTGCAACTCCATCTGTCTCCTTTTTTGGTATTTTCATGCAAATTTTTCTGCTAGTTGAGGTTTAGTCCACGTGCATATCCTTCCCTTCAAGGCTCAGGGGTCTAGTATTATCTTCTGTGTCTGTGTCAATTGGTTTCCCTTTTCTTTGTTGAAGAGGGTTTGTGCAGTCTTTCTGCCTAGTCCGCCATCTTGCCGGATCTCTCCCCTGAACCACCGACTTTTAAGTTAATAGTTGTGTGCAAACCAATTGTTCCACTCTGGGACCTTAGGGTTCAATTCCTCTTCTTTTAGTACCTACTCTTCTGACTGTCAGTTTTTCTTGAAGCAAACCTTCCTTTTAATTACGATGCTGGCTACTCACTGTCTCTATTCTACTGTTCAGAGGTGAAGTTGCAAGCATAGACAAAGCTCACATGTTCCCAAATGATGAACCCATCCCCCTCACCATTCTTCTGCCTTTGTCGGTTCTGTACCTGGTATTTGTTGGTAGAATTAAAGGGAATCTCTGCCACCTTGGGGTTCTTCTGTCTCATCTCCACCACAGAGCTGTAAGACTGCTCGACGAACTTGAGCAGGGCCGACTCAGAAGCATCACCAGTTGTCTCACGCTGCAGGAGGGGGTTTGTGTAAGCCATGTGGCCTGGCCCCTGGGGCATCAGGCTTACCCATGGACACAGGAGAGGGGCAGACTAGGAAAGGAGTGCTCGGAAAATCACTGAGGACCAGGAATTTATTTTTTTCCCCCCAAAGAGGGCAGGTTATACCCTGGACATTGAGGTACCCTCTTCTCCCTTAGGCACGAGACCTTAGTTACTGGAAGCATCTCTTGATTAGCCTTAAAGTCAGCACGATTGCACAGGCCAGCGATTTGGGCTAGGATGAACCAAGTAGGAGAGCCCTTGGCAAATGTTTTTCCTGAAAAGAAAGGGTGGGAAAACTGTGAGTAGGACATAGAAGAGTCTAAATCAGGGAGTTATTCACATCCTGAGTTTCTTACTCAGGAGCTCTGGTGGCGTAGTGCCTAAGCATTTGACTGCTAACCAAAAGGCTGGCAGTTAAAACCCACCAGCCACTCCTTGGAAGGAAGGTTGGGCAATCTACTTCCGTAGTGATACTGCCTCGGAAACCCAAGGAAGGGTCACTATGAGTCGGATCTGACTCAACAGCAGTGAGTTTGGTTTGCTTTGGTTTCTTTTTCAAATACTTCAGAGGCAACATTTCTTTTTCTCTACACCCCCTTTCTGTCTATTTCAGTTTCCAGCTATCTTCCTGTCTGCACTCACCATTCTGTCTCAGCTCATTCACTCCCCACCCCTCACCCCAAATCTTTCCACTCTCAGCCCACCAATAGCACTAGTTACCAGTCTGGTCTTCAGTGATGTTGGCTTCATATATGGTCCTATCAAACCATAAGTGGGCGACAGTCATGCGGTTCTGGGTGAGGGTGCCTGTCTTGTCAGAGCAGATGGTGGAGGTAGAGCCCAGTGTCTCCACTGCCTCAAGGTTTTTCACCAGGCAGTTCTTCAACGCCATGCGCTTGGCTGTCAGGGTCAGACACACCTAAGGCCATGAAGAGAGAAGAGAGTAAATGGAGAGAAGTTGACTGCTCACACCACCTTATTATTTTGGAAGTTTGATCTATTTTTATCCTTATTTCCCTTTCTTTTCCACTTAGTCCTTAGAAATTCCATCTGTGGCTAGGATACAGGAAATTCAGAAAGAGATTTTGGTTCATGCTTTATGGCAGGGTTTCAAAAAAAAGAGAGAAGGTATTCATTGGCTGTTGTGAGTTATGCCAATAAAATAAAAATGCTAATTAAAAAAGAAGACATTCCTTGACCACAGTATAATGGAGAATGATCTTCCTTATTCTTCTTGGAATAGTCTCTCCTCCATGATCCTTTCATCTTTTCTGTTTAGCAGTCTGCTTTCCATTAAAGTTCAGGCCATAACTTTTTTTTTTTTTTTTTTTTAATACTTGCTATTTAATAAGATACTTCAAGAAACAGATGCAGTGTTGCAGGCACTCATCTATGCCAAGTAATTTGGAAGATAGCTACCTGGCCAACTGACTGGAAAAGATCCATATTTGTGCCCAATCCAAAGAAAGGTGATCCAACAGAATGTGGAAATTATTGAGTTACATCATTAATATCACATTTTGCTGAAGATAATTAAAAAATGGTTGTAGCAGTATATTGACAGGGAACTTCCAGAAATGCAAGCTGGATTCAGAAGAGGACATGAAATGAGGGCTATCATTGCTGATGTCAGATGGATCTTGGTTGAAAACAAAGAATACCAGAAAGATGTTTACATGTGTTTTGTTGACTATGCAAAGACGTAGTCTCACCTACTTTGGTCATGTTGTCAGACAGGGCCATTCCTTGGAGAAGGACATCATGCTTGATAAAGTGGAGGGTCAGCAAAAAAGGAGAAGACCCTTAACAAGATGGATTGACACTGTGGCTGCAATGATGGGCTCAAGTATAAGAAGGTTTGTGAGGATGACGCATGACTGGGCAGTGTTTTGTTCTCTTGTACACAGGGTCATTATGAGTCAGAGCTGACTTCATGGCACCTAACAACAGCATTTAATGTCATTCCAAGTAGATAAAAAATTTTAAGTTATTAGCATGAATTTTACTGTTCATCTTTATATTGTACATTGCCAATTTAAAATGCAAATATAACATCATTGAACTCATATGCAGAATCACTGAAAGTACACAATTTGTATTTCTTTTCCTTTCTTAATATTTTTTTTTCTTTACCATTTCCTTCACCCAAGTTAACATGTGTTTACCCTCTCGTTAGTGATTTATCTTTCCTTTCCCTCCCACCCCTGGTAACTATTAAAGAATATTTTTGTGAAAACCTTTTCTTGACTTTTTATAATAGTGGTCTGGTACAATATTTGTCCTTTCATAATTGACTAATTTTACTCAGCATAATGGCTTCTAAGTTCATTGATGCTATGAGATGTTTTGTAGATTCAGCATTGTTCTTTAAGGTTGTATAATATTCCATTGTGTGTATGTACCAGAGTTTGTTGATCCAGTTTTCTGTTGATAGGCATTTGTTTCCACCTTTTTGTTATTATGAATAGTGTTGTGATGTACATGGGTGTGTGTTTATCTGTGTCGTGGCTCTTATTTTTTAGCATTTGTAACTAGTCGTGGGATTATTGGATCATATGTATTTCTATCTCCAACTTTTTAAGGAAGCACCATACCATTTTCCACAGTGGTTGCATCATTTTACAGTCCCATCAACAGTGTATGAGGGTGCCAGTCTCTCCATACCCTTGCCAACATTTGTTGTTTTCTATTTTTTGGAATGTTGCTATTAGTGCTAGGGCACATTTCCTTCTTAAATCCAATCTTTCCAGAGGCCACCATCTTTTTTGTGGATAGAGAAGGGTTGAACTAATAGTTTGGAAAAAGAATAGGGCACAGAGAATGATGAAATTGGGAAAGAATATCTCAATACTGGAAAGAACTTAAGAAATCATCTCAAATCAGAAGATTTTTGTTAATCATAAATTCAATGAAGTCAGATGTGTCATAAGGTTGTTTTTAAAGCTAATGGATTCTCCGCCCCCAAAATAAAAACCCCATATCCATTGCTGTTGATTCTGACTCATGGCAACTCCATATGTTACAGAGTAGAATTGTGGTCCATAAGGTTTTCTTGGCTGTAATCTTCACTGAAGCAGATCATCAGCTCTTTCTTCTGTGGTTTCACACCTTTAGGTTAGTTTGAATGAAAACTGGGACCTAGGAACCTTAATTGATTCTTTAAAAAAAATTGTATTGTGATTTGGGTGAAAATTTACAGAGCAAATTCAACTTCCATACAGTATTTTTATATACTTTGTCTCATGACATTGACTGTAATCTCCCATAATGCAATAGCTCTCCTCTCTCTTCTCCCCTTAGCCACCTCTTCCCTATGTCCTTCCCTCCCATGCACTCCTGCCATCTGAGCTGTCTCCCTGTGCATACACAGCCCTTCTATCCTCCCATGATTGATCCCTCCAAGGAGTGTATCTACCTAATGAAATGTTTAGCTCACATGCCTATCTATTATTTGGGTGGAAGCGACAGGAGTGGGTTGCATTTCTGACCTGAAGGGCAGATAGGGGCCATAGTTTCAGGGGGTTCCACCAGGCTCTATCAGAACAGCAAACCTGGTCCCTTTTTTTTTTTTGATTCTGAGTTTTGTTCCACATTATTCTTCCACTCTATGCAGGATCTCCTATGTAGATCTCCCTGCTAGTGGTTGACAGTGGTAGCCGGGCATCATCTAGCTCTTATGGTCTCGTAGTCATACAGGATGAGGATCACATGGTGTGTGAGTCCCTTGGACTAATTGTTTTCACATGTCTTTGTTTTTCTTCATTCTCCTTTGCTCTGGACAAGGAGAGACCCATTGTTGCATCTAGATGGCCTCTTGCAAGCTTTTAAGATCCCAGTCACTACTCACTAAAGTAGGAGGTGGAACAGTGTTTTGTGTGTATGTTATGCCAATTGAGCTTTATGTTCCCTGTGAACATGTTCCCAAGCCCACAGATCCAACTACTTGCTCCCTCTGGGTAGATGGCTGTGGCCAAGAAGTAACTACACCCTTGTCCCTTGTCAGCTGTACTATATACCTAGACATTTTTACAGAACATACAAATAGACTTGTAGAAACATTGTCTGCCAGCCCCTATACATGGTCATGGGCACACTCCCCTCTGCATACCAAACCAAAAACCAAACTCACTGCCATCAAGTCGAATCTGACTCATAACGACCCTTCCTTGGGTTTCTGAGGCAGTATCATCACGAAATTAGATTGCCCAATCTTCCTTCCTGGGAGTTCTGGTAGCATAGTGCCTAAGGCACTTGACTGCTAACCAGAAGGTTGGTGCTTCAAAACCACCAGCCACTGCTCAGAAGGAAGATGGGGCAATCTACTTCCATAGTAATACTGCCTCAGAAACCCAAGGAGGGGTCACTATGAGTCGGGTCCGACTCAATGGCACATAGCAACAACAACAATCTTCCTTCCAAGGAGTGGCTGGTGAGTTTGAACCACCAGCCTTCTAGTTAGCAGTCAAATGCCTTGGGCATTATGCCACCAGAGCTCCCTCCCCTCTGCACAGACATACCTAATAGTTCAGCCTGTCTACCCATCTATCCACCCATAGATCAACGTTTGCCATGACTGACATTGCAGTATTATATGTGCAAAAGGGTTCATCTTTGTTGTTTGTACCTCCCATGCACCTCTCTATGTCTTTCTCTTCTTCAATGCCACTGTGTTGATCACTCACATTTGGTACATTGCCCTTCCCTTCATCCAAATCAATACTTGTCTCTTCCTATCTAGCAGTGTTCCCTTCTCCTCCCTCCCAACCTTGGTAACCAACAAAGAAAATTTCCTTTCTTCCTTGACTTTTTATAACAGACTAATACAATATTTGTCCTTCTGTGATTGACTTATTTCACTCATCATAATGTCCTCCAAGTTCATCCACGTTATGCGGTGTTTTGCAGATTCTACATTATTCTTTAGCGTTGCATAGTATTCCATTGTGTATATGTTTATTTATTCATTCTGTTGATGGGCACCTAGGTTGTTTCCATCTTTTTGCTATTATAAATAGTTCTGTGATGAACATAGGTGTGCATATACCTGTTCTTGTTATGGCTCTCAGTTCTTTAGGATATATACCTAGTAATGGAATGGCTGGGTCAAATGGTATTTCTAACTCCAACTTTTTAAGGAATTGCCGTACTATTTTCCTCAGTGGTTGTATCATTTGACAGTCTCACCAGCAGTGTATGCAAGTCCCAGTGTCTCCACATCCTTGCCAGCATTTGTTATTTTCTGTCTTGTTGAACTTTGCTACTAGTGCTGGGGCAAGATGGTATCTCATTGTTGTTTTGATTTGCATTTCTTTAATGGCTAATGATCATGAACATTTTTTCATGTGTTTGTCGGCCACCTGAATATCCTCTTTGGTAAAGTATCTATTCATGTCTTTTGCCCATTTTTTAACTGGATTATTTGTCTTTTTGTTGTTGAGGTGTTGGGGTTTTCTATAAATTTTAGGGATAAGTCCCTTGTCAGATATGTTATTGCCAAATATTTTTTCCCAATCTGTAGGTTCTCTTTTAACTCTTTTGGAGAAGTCTTTGGAAGCACATAAAAGTGTGATTTTCCCATTCATTTAGTTTATCTTCTGCTGTTTGTACATTTTGGGTTATGCTTGATAGTCCATTTATGCCATATATCAGGGCCCCTAAGTGTGCCCCTAGTTTTTCCTTGAGGAACTTTATAGTTTTACATTTCACATTTAAGTCTTTGATCCATCTGGAGTTAGTTTTTGTGAATGATGTGAGGTATGGATCTTGTTTAATTTCTCTGCAAATGGATATCCAGTTTTGCCAGTGCCATTTGTTAAGCAGACTATCTCCTCCCCATTTAATGGATTTCAGCCCTTTGTCACAGATCAGCTGACCATAGGTTGATGGATCTATTTCTGGGTTCTCAATTCTATTCCACTGGTCTATGTGTCTGTCATTAAACCAATACCAGGCAGTTTTGACTGCTGTGGCTGTTCAGTAGGTTTTGAGATCCAGGAGTGTGAGACCTCCTACTTTGTTCTTCTTCAATAGTGTTTTGCTTATTGGAGATCTCTTTAGGAATCTTAATGGATTGTTAAGTACAAAATTCAAATTATGGAATTATAATTTATTTCTGTAACATCACAAGTCCCAATATGTTTATACTATCCAAACCATACCCCAAATATTTGCCCATTTCTGTATGAAGGGGAACTTTGATAAACTAGGCCGTACTCTAAACAGGTGGCCAGCAAGACAAGGGGGGTCATAGGAAGAATGGTTAAGGTAAAGAGATTATTTCACCTCCCACCTGAAGAGTTTGAGGGGACATAAAGACTACTTCAGAAATCTAAAGGACTAGTCTGTTGGAGTGAGAGAATTGACTTATTTTGTGTTTCTTCAGGTGGGAGAGCTAGGACAAAATATGTTGTTGATAGCTGCCATCAAGTAGGCCTCTGACTCATGGTGACTCCATGTGTGCAGAGTACAACTGCTCCATAGGGTTTTCTTGGTTGTAATCTGTGTGGAAGAAATTGCCAGGCTTTTTCTTCTGTTGGGCAGCTGGGTGGGTTTGAACTGCCAAACTTCAGCTTAGCTGCAGATCACAAACTTCTTGTATGCCCAGGGCTCTTTAGGAACAAATAGGAAATCATACTGCTGATCGATACAATCCAATTTAACTACAGCAGTCCACCAAGGAAATGAGTTGAGACAAAAAGTGGTGGCCTCCCCATTACTAGGAATAATAATCACCTGCCAGTTACTTCATAGAAGATATCTAACATTGATCAAAAGGCTGAATTTATATTGCTTTTGAAGTCCTGTTAAATAATAAGATTCTATACAAGGATGGGAGCTCTGGTAGCATAGTGCCTAAGGCATCTGGCTGCTAATCAGAGGCTGGCAGTTCAAACCCACCAGCCACTCCTCTGAAGGAAGATTGGGCGATCTACTTCCATAGAGATACCACCTGGGGAACCCAAGGAGGGGTCACTATGAGTCAGGATCTACTCGATAGCAATGAGTTTGGCTCTTTTTGGTTACACAAGCATACTTTGGAGATATTGCAGATTCTGTTCCAGACCATTGCAATAAAGCAAATATCACAATAAAGTGAGTCAAATGAATTTTTTGGTTTCTCAGTTCATATAAAAAGGAACTCTGGTGGTATAGTGGTTAAGGCATTTAGCTGCTAACCAAAAGATCATTGGTTCAAACCCACCCGCCACTCCATGGAAGAAAGATGAGGCAGTCTGCTTCTATAAAGATTTACAGGCTTGGAAACCCGACTCTCTCTGAGTCAGACTCAACTTGATGGCAATGAGTTTGATTTTTTGAAGTGCATATAAAAGTTATGTTTATACTATACGTAGACTATTAAGTGTGCAGTAGCATTACGATAAAGTTTGAAATATTGTGAGAATTACCAAAATGTGACAGAGAGACAGAAAGTGAGTACCTGCTTTTGGGAAAATGACACTGATAGACTTGCTTGCTGTAGTATTGCCACAAACTTCAATTTGTAAAAAATGTAATATCTGGGAAGCACAGTAAAGCGAAGCACAATAAAACAACATATGTCTGTAATTTCAAATAAATGTTCCTCTATAAACTGATGAATAAATTGAGGCCTGGAGATGTTAAATGATCTGGCCAAGTTCACCAGCTAGTACACATAGGACTAGAACTCATTCTTTGTAGTTTATAATCCAATGCTTTCCCATCACAACTTGCTTCCTCTTTTATTGAGGAGAAAGAGAAGGCACAAGAAAATTTGGGTGGAGGGATTCAAGGTAATTTGGGGAGCTATATTATTTCTAATAGCTGTGTAAATGCCAGGAATACTTTGCACTTGAGAATTTCAACAACAAAAGATATACTGGTGATTTCATTTTCCTGGGGTGGTTTGTCTTCCCAAAGGCCACCTTCCACCCGTCTACTTACAGTGACAGTGGCCAGCAGCCCCTCAGGCACATTGGCCACAATGATGCCAATAAGAAAAATGACAGCCTGCAGCCAGCCGTAGCCCAACGTAAGTGAAAGCACAAAGAAAGTGATCCCCAGGAAGACGGCCACCATGGTGATCAGATGGATGAAGTGCTCGATCTCAATAGCAATGGGGGTCTTGCCAGCTACAAGGCCTGATGTCAGTGAGGCAATGCGGCCCATCACTGTGGAGTCTCCTGTAGCAATCACAATGCCTCTGGCTGTTCCTATGGAAGAAGGAGAAAGAGTGGTCACCTGAGACACTCAAAGTCTCAATTGGGAAGACTCTCAGGATTGGTTCCTACAAAGACATAGGTGTCAATGGTCAAAAACAGAGTGGAAATTCAAGGCCCTCTGAGAGGTCATTATGTTCTATTCGCTTTGTATTTAGTTTATGTAAATACAGGTCTCTCCTAGTCTGAAAAATCTTTGAAGAGATTTCACAGTTCTAAGATATCTAATTTTGTTGCCTAATTTACTTTCACTGTCAAGAAGGTCTTCATTACACTTAACCTAAAATCTTCTTTTACTTATACATTTCTTTGGTTTAGCTGAATAGGGTCTAGATCCCCAGGAACAGTGGCTACCCTTCTGGTGGAGTCCTATGTTCTAATATCCTTTTGTCACTCCTCTAACCCAGTGGTTCTCAACTAAGGCCCATTCCTCCCCAACCCCCAGAGGACATTTGACAATACCTGGTTTTTGGTTGTCATAACTTGGGTGGAGGTGGGGGCCAGAGGGTGGGTACCACTGGTATCTAATGGGTAGAGGTCAGGGATGCTGCTAAAAAGTCTACAATGCATGGGGCAGCACCTTATAGCAAAGAATTATCCAGCTCAACATTTCAATAGTGTCAAGATTGAAAAACCCTGCTCTAACCTGAGCATTCTCCTTGCTTTGCTCTGGCTAGAGCCAGTCTGACCCCTGGTGGGTAGCACAGACCATAACAGTTGGGTTTCTGTGCCTATCAAGGGGCAGTGTGGGATAGACAAGTTGATTCCAACTCTTGGAGACCCCATGGGTGTCAGAGTAGAATTATGCTCAACAGAGTTTTCATGGCTGATTTTCTGGAAAATAGATCACCAGATTTTTCTTCTGGGGTACCCATGGATGGATTTTAACCTCCAACCTTTCAGTTAACAGCTGAGGGTTTTAACCATTGGCACCACCCAGGGACTCTGTGCTTATAAAGGTCCACCTCTTCTCTTTAGCTGGAGCTCTGGTGGCATGGTACTTAAGGCATTTGACTGCTAACCAGAAGGCTGGTGGTTCAAACCCACCAGCCACTCCTCGGGAGGAAGGTTGGGCAATCTACTTCCGTAGTGATACCGCCTTGGAAACCCAAGGAGGGGTCACTATGAGTCGGATCTGACTTGATGGCAGTGAGTTTGGTTTGTTTGGTTTCCTCTTTACCAGCACTGCCCCTGTGTCACAAAGGGAACTTGCGCACAGATCCTGCAGATTGCTCACTTGCATGGCTTGAGCCAGGCTGCCAGAGAAGGTTCTTCGTTCCAGATTTCCTCTGCTGCACCATACTGACTGAAAGCAAAATAACCAAACTCACTCTGACTCGTGGTGACACCTCCTTGGGTTTCCGAGGTGGTATCACTATGGAAGTAGATTGCCCAATCTTCCTTCTGAGGAGTGGCTGGTGGGGTTGAAACACCAGCCTTCTGGTTAGCAGTCAGATACCTTAGGCATTATGCTACCAGAGCTCCTACAATAACTGAAGTTTCTACCATTAAATTTACAGTCAGAATCACTCAGAAAAGCAACATTTTATTAATGGAAATAGCATGTGTTTTAGAATAAGACTCAGAGCAGGAAGTCTCACTTTCCAGTTTATTAGCTGTTTGGCTTGGGGCAAGTTGCTTAAACTCTCTTAGATTCAGCTTTGCCTTTAAGAATGGGATGAAAATATCTGCAGATCTGCATATGAGTTGAACATTTACCTGAGGTAGATACACTCCTTGCAGAGAACAATCATGGGAGAAAGAAGGGCTGCTTATGTACTGGGAGACAGCTCAGGGGGCAGGAGGGCTTGGAGGGATGGACACGGGGAAGAGGTAATTATCAGGAGGAAGTGGGAGGGGAGCTGTTTCATTGTGGTAAATTGTAGTCAATGTCATGAGACAAAGTGTATGTGAACTTCTGCATGGAAAGTGAATTTGCTCTGTAAATCTTCACCCAAATCACACACACACACACAAAAGAAATCTGCAAATCTGCAAAGATTAAATGAATATTTTTAAAGGAGTTTAAAACAGCACACAGTAGGCATTTAAATATTAGCTTCTTCTCTTAATTTACTTGGATTTAAGGTCTCCAGAAAGAATGATATATAACCACATTTATGACTTGGTGAGGGCAGCGTTAACTTAGCAGCACCCAGAGACATCATAGCACAGAGCAGCAGTGTGGGCCCAATTTCTAAGGTCACCTTCAGCTATACAAATCTGAGCGGAGGGTCCTGGTCATAGACCAAACAGGTCAGACCAATGTTTATGTGAAAGAGAGTTCTGGAATTGTTCACAGTATGAGGCACTCTACAGATAAGCTCTAGATTTGTTGCCAGAGACATTCATTGGCCTTGATGAAAGAAAGATACTTAAATGATTGGAGGTGCCGAAAGGGTTTTTAATTTTGGGGGAAGTATCAGTTATATCTATTTTGGGCCATGGTTTGGTTTAACTCTTAATTGTTATTCCTTCTGCAATGATTTCTTCATTCTTGGAGAGATGGAATTTAATAATGAATCCTAACGTCAAACTTGGGGCACATTGAGAGGGCCAAGTGTCCTGTATCCCAGGCCAGACTGGTTCCTTCGTACACCTTCTGTATATACCAGAGAAATAGCTTAGACCCCAGTGAATATGTGTGAGAACCAAAGAGAACTGTTTGCAGCAGCAGTCCCATCAAGGTCCACAGTGATGAGAGTTGGGAGACAAGGGCCTAGGGTAAAGGCTAAAGCTTTGCCATTAGTTTGAACATTGCACAGAAGTTTCTCAATTTGACATTGAATAGCTCCATCAACCTAGCTCCACCATTTTGGTCTCATCTTGGGCCCTACTATTCTCCTATTAAATCATCCTCTGTTGTTGTTGTCAGGTGCCATCAAGTTGGCTCTGACTCACAGTGACCCTATATACAACAGAACAAAACACTGCCCAGTCCTGCGCCAGCCTCACAATCTTTGCTATATCTGAGCCCATCATTGCAGCCACTGTGTCAGTCTATCTCATTGAGGGCCTTCCCCTTTTTTTGCTGACCCTCCACTTTACCAGGTATGACATCCTTCTCCAAAGAAATGTCCCTTCTGACAACATGACCAAAGTAGGTGAGATGATGTCTGGCCATTCTTGCTTCCACAGAGCATTCTGGCTGCAATCCTTCCAGGACAGATTTGTTTGTTCTTCTGGCACTCTATGGTACTTTCAGTATTCTTCACCAACACCACAGTTCAAAAGCATCAACTCTTCTTTGGTTTTCCTTATTCATTGTCTGGCTTTCACGTACATTTGAGGCAATTGAAAATACCGTGGCTTGGATTAGGTGCACTACAGTCTTCAGAGTGACATCTTTGCTCTTCAATGCTTTAAAGAGGTCTTTTGCAGTAGATTCACCCAGTGCAATACAACGTCTGATTTCCTGATGGTGCTTCCATGGGTGTTGATTTAATTTTGTAAAATTTTAATCCAAGTAAAATGAAATCTTTGACAACTTCAATCTTTTCTCTATTTATTGTGATGCTGGTTACAGGTCCAGTTGTGAGAATTTTTGTTTTCTTTAGGTTGAGATGTAATCCCTACTGCAGACTGTAGTCTTTAATCTTCATCAGTAAGTGCTTCAAGTCATCTTCACTTTCAGCTAGCAAGGTTGTGTCATCTGCATATTGCAGGTTGTTAGTGAGTTTTCCTCCAATCCTGATGCAGAGTTCTTCTTCACACAGTCCAGTCTCTGATTATTTACTCACCATACAGATTGAATCAACACGGTGAAAGGGTACAACCCTGACACACACCTTTCCTGATTTTAAACCATGCAGTATTCCCTTGTTCTGTTTGAATGACTGCCCACTGGTCTTTGTACAGGTTTCTCATGAATACAATTAAGTGTTCTGGAATTCCCATTCTTCACAATGTTATCCATAATTTGTTATGATCCACACAGTTGAATGCTTTTGCACAGTCAACAAAACACAAATAAACATCTTTCTGGTATGTTTTGCTTTCAGCCAAGATCCATGTGACATTAGCAATGATATCTCTTGTTCCACATCCTCTTCTGAATCCAGCTTGCATTTCTGGAAGCTCCATGTCAATATACTGCAGCAACAATTTTTGAATTATCTTCAGCAAGATTTTACTTGTGTGTGATATTAATGACATTGTTTGATAGTTTCCTCATTCTATTGGATCACCTTTTTTTGGAATGGCTGCAAATATGGATCTCTTCCAGTCAGTTGGCCAGGTAGCTATCTTCCAAATTACTTGGTATTGTCAGGCAAATACCTCTAGGGCAACATCCATTTGTTGAAACACCTCAATGGGTATTCTTCCAATTCCCAGAGCCTTGTTTTTTGCTAATCCCTTCAGTGCAGCTTTGACTTCTTCCTTCAGTGCCATTGGTTCTTGATCACATGCCACTTCCTGAAACAGCTGAACACTGACAAATTCTTTTTTGTACAGTGACTCTGTGTATTCTTTCCATCTTCTTTCGAGGCTTCCTGCATCATTCAATACTTTGCCCACAGAATCTTTCAATATTGCAACTGGAGGCTTGAATTTTTCTTCAGTTTTTTCAGCTTAAGAAATGCTGAGTGTGTTCTTCCCTTTTAGTTTCCTAACTCCAGGTCTTTGCACATTTCTTTATAATAATTGACTTAGTCTTATTGTGCTGCTTTTTGAAATCTATTCAGCTCTTTTATCTTGTCATTTTTTCCATTTGCTTTATCTACTCTCCATTCAAGAGGAAGTTTCAGAGTCTCTTCTGACATCCATTTTCATCTTTGCTTTCTTTTCTGTCTTTTTAATGACCTTTGCTTTCTTCATGTTTGATGTCATCCCACAACTCATCTGGTCTTTGGTCACTGGTGTTCAATGCATCAACTCTATTCTTCAGATGGTGTCTAAATGCAGGTGGGATACAATCAAGGTCATATTTTGGCTCTCATGAACTTGTTTTTAATTTTCTTCAGCTTGAACTTGCATATGAGCAATTGGTGGTC